CTATTTCTGCAGTAAGCTTGCAGCGTGGCTCCTTCAAAGGTACGCTGGCCCTTCTGCCAGACCTTTCCTCACAGCTCCTCCAGGGTTACGTTTGATGAGGTGCAGGAGCTGTCCCTGACTTGTCTTATAGCTGTGGGATTTTCAGACGGAGCCACATAGAGTCCTGTAAGTCTGTAGCCACACAGAGTCCTGTAAGTCTGTAGCCACACAGAGTCCTGTAAGTCTGTTCTTTCCTGTTCTTTGCCTTCTTACCCATTTCCCTGTGCGGCCTCAGCTTTCACCACTAAAGCCCTGGAGAATCCACTAGAAAGTCCAGTTAGGTCAAGGGTAGCAATAGGTGTTACTTAAAAAAGTGGTAGTTCCTTTGGTCAGGGCCTGTAATAATGTTAGTGTCCTCTAACATTAGTGCAAAATGTTGAAAGTGCAAAAGAAGAAAAACCGAAATCACGTTTTGGCTGCGGTAGTGGGAAAGTGGAAGGCTGTAATCTCGGGAGGGTGGTGCCTGCCACACTCACATGCTCACGCTGTACTGGTGGGCGTGTGGTTTAGCATGCTGGGATAGTCACTCGTGTATCTGAAGCCTTCGAACAGGCCGTAGCACTTAAAATCGGCTTCCGGAATTTAGCCTAATGAAATAGTAATTGAACATGTGCACAGATACATATGTACAAGGAAGCGCATTGCAGCAGTGTTTATAGAAGCAGAAAATTGGAAGCAACTTCTGTGTTCATCAGTGGAGGAACTGTTTAGCTAAATTATATTGCAGCTATTAAACATGATGATTCAGAGCGTTACATAAAGCTAGAAAATGTCTCTGATCGATGTTTGTAAAACAATGCATGCGTATGGTACCATTTTAGTTAATATGTGTGAGCATGCCTGGAAGGAAGCTCTCCAGAAATATTTAAAAACTCAGCTCATTTCTGGGAGACGGGGTTACATATGACTTTTATTTCTTCCTTTATACTTTACTGGATTGTTCAGAGTTATTTTGTACCGAACATAAATTCCCCCCCCCCCCCCCGTTGGGGGAAAAAGGGTCTTTTTTTTTTGGGGGGGGGGGGTGGGGTGGATGTAAAAACCCTGAGGTCTTGATACATGGAGAGGCCCCACAGAGCACCCAGGGTGAGCAAGGACTGGGCACTCCTTCCAGAACTGAACTGAGCCAAGGGGAAGAGTGAGTTACACAGAAATCACTGAGTCCCGAGTACACACTGATTGTCACAGAGTCAACACCAAACGTTCTCGGAACATCCTGAGGCACACCTAAAAACAGCCCTCGTGTCAGGGCCCATCCTCCCCGGTGGTCTCCTTTGCTCCGTTCTCCGCAGTCAGCAGTCTGGAAGGCCGGGTCTAGTCAGAGAAGCTCCTGTGTGTTGACTCTGTGCCCACACTCTTTTCCCTCCCCTGTGACTAATGTGTCACATCCTTCCCTAGCCGCCCCAGCTCGCCTCAGATGTTTGTCTTTCCCCTCAACGCTCGGCCTCCCACAGCTGCTGCCGTCCTAGAACATTTTTAGCCAATATTTGGCTTTTGATATTGATTTGCAGTTTGCATTTTGAGCCAATAAAAGGAGTGAAATTTGACTGGCTTTGTAGCATGTTAGCACTATTGTACAGAGGAAAATACTTTACTTATTTGTATCTTGTGCCTTTCCGGAGTTAGGAAAAAATGGAAATAGACCATTTGTAGCACACGAGTAAAAATAAATTCTGTGCTTTGAGATCTGAATAAAAGATTCTACTTCTGACCTAGACTCGGGCTGTGTGTGTGTGTGTGTGTGTGATGTTTGCAATATGTAGTGTGTGTGTGGTGTGTTTGGTGTATGCATTTGTGATGTGTATGTGTGTGTGCCTGTGGTATGTGTGTATGTATGATGTGTACAACATGTAGTGTGTGTGTGGTGTATTTGGTGTATACGTGTGGTGTGTGTTTGTGTGCGTGTGTGCGCCTGTGGTATGTGCATGTATATGTGCATGTGTTGTGCGTGTTTGTGTGCCTGTGGTGTGTGTGTGTGTGCCTGTGGTATGTGCGTGTATGTGTGCATGTGATATGCACGTGTGTGCCTGTAGTATTGCATAATATGTAGTGTGTGTGATGTGTTTGGTGTGTGCATTTGTGGTGTGGTTTGTGTGTGCCTGTGGTATGTGCATATATGTGTGCATGTGATGTGCGTGTATGTGCCTATGCATGTGTGGTGTGTGTGTGGTGTGTTTGGTGTATGTGTGTGATGTGGTTTGTGTGTGTGGTGTGTGTGTGTGAAAGAGGGGGGAGAGAGAGAAATCAGGATTTGCTGCAGAATAAAGGTACTGTACTTTTAGTTTAGCTGTGTTACGAGTAGTCTCCTCCCTCCCCTCATGATTCTAGAATTCACTTTCATTTTTCTAGTCATAAGAACTGGAGGGAGCAACTCATTGCTACACTCATGCTATAGCTGCTCTTTTAATTATATGAAAGTTTAAATATTTTTCACAGTGCAATTTCTCAACTATTGTTGGAAAACAAGCCTTCCTTGTGGCCTCTCTGTGAGGTAAAAGCTGTTAGCCCATAGGAGCCTGGAGCATTTCAGCCTTTCAGGCTCTGTGGAAACTCTCCTGGTGCAATCAGTTTCTCCATCCAAGGCAAGTGTCAGCCCCTCTCATACATAAACATGAGTCTGAGCAAAGGCTCCAGTACAGCCACATTTCACCCTGATTGTGAATAAATAATTTAAACTCAGCATTTCAAACGACGTAATAGATTCTGCGGGAGTGAGGTGGGACTGGGTTCCTCGCAGGGACTGTTGGTGACCGTTCTAATGACATTTGAAACACGTGAGACTAGGCCCGTGTTGAGAAATTATTTTATGGTCACAGAAATCCTGATGTCAAGGAGCCTGCGAGTGTTTATTAGTGAGGTGAGGAGTGTTCCAGCCATGCCTACCCTGAGTGACCACAGCGCCCCTCCATGGACGCAGCCCTTCCCTTAGGCCCCTCTCACCCCCACACTTCATGTCTGTCCAGAAGACAGACTCCTCAAAGCCGAATCAGTTCCCTCTTGCTGTGACTATGGCATCCTCTTCAAGGGGAAGGTCAGTGCCTGCATTTCAACCAGATTGCTAGGAAAGTTCCCTGCAGAGTTATTACAGGAAGACACTCACTTTGAGACATTTTCCCTCAGCCATTGTCCTGCAGTAGCCGGAAGTCTCACTTGATGCTGGGACTGGGATGAGGGCCCACGTGTGCTTCCTCAACAACAGCAAGAAGAGTGTACCTTTTTTTACCTTCTCAAATTCACACTAGTTTGAAGTACGGAGCAAAATCATTTTAATTTTTTTCTTTTCCTTTTTGAAAATTCCCTATATGTATTCAAGATCCATAAATGTATCTTGATAGTCTCTGCCCTCCTCCTATCCCCTAAGTTCTCTCTCCCCCTTCCCCCCAGTATCATGCTGGAATATTCATGGGGGTCACCTAAGACAATAGGAAAACACAGATATTTATTTACATCACGATTCATAACAATAGCAAAAGTTACAGTTGTGATGTGACTGTGAAAATGATTGTATGGTTGGGGGTCACCACAACACATGGGGGCTGTATTAAAGGGTTGCAGCATTAGGAGGGGTGAGGACCACTGACTTGGTGGGATGTGGGAATAAAGGGAGCTTCTGCAGGTAGGGTAGCTTGACGAATAGGAAGGGACCCCGAGACGCCTTCACACACCCCTGTTGGGAGAGAGGAAAGAAAGAACACATAGCGGCTTTAAGGGTTGCGAAGATTACATCTTCTTAGAAGTGTGAAGAAGAGGAGGTGCTGTGGGGGTGGCAGAATTGGATGATTTCTGTGCTAATTGATGCTCGAATGCATAAGAGAAGTAATCGCGTTTCATGAACAGATCATGCATGCCGTTCCATCAAACGATTGCAAAACACAATTCTCCATTTGTGTTTAATGGTGGCGGGGGGAGGGGGGAGTTAAAACGATCTCTTACCAGTTAAAACGCATTCTTAAACAATGAAGCTAGCATAAGCATTTTTTATAGCCTGTGAGAACAGACTCCTCCCTGTAGATTAAACCGACCATGTTCATGTGTGTATGGGAACAGAAGGAGAGCGATTGTATTAGCCCCATCTTTGCTCTAATATCTTATTTTAGGACACACTCCTCGCTGTAGACTAAACCATCCATGCCAATGTGTGTACAGAAACAGAGTGATTGTATTAGGCCCATCTTTTGTTCTGGTGTCTTACTTTGTTATCGTATTCATTACGCCCCTACCCACCCTTCTTTCTGAGACAGTATCCCATCGTAGCCCAGGCTGGCCTGCTTCAACCTCCCTGGTGCTGGAATTAGAGTGGCTTGCACCACTATATATGGTTTAGGTTGTAATCTTTTAAGTTCTTAATTGAAGACTCATTTAATTTGTTACTATCAATATTTACAAGTTTTGAAATTTGCGTCATATGGGTCAGGGGACACTGCTCATGAATCTGCAGACCAACACCTATGACTAACGTGGCTTTGTGTGCATGGCAGCTCTTCTTGGCATGTGTTCAAAATGACTCCCTGGAGGAAGCGATGACCTCTGGAGAGGTGTCATGAAAGCCAGTTAAAAGCGTGGGGGTAGGAGACCGATGAGGCTTCCATCAGTAATGTTCCATCTCATATTTTCCTTCTTGCAAAAAAAATTCAGTACCACAGCCAGGAAGTCCTTATTCCTGAGTTCCTGTCCAAACTTGACTCCCCTCTGCTGTCCAGGCAGGTCGAATCTGGGGTGATTGTGCCCTGCATGTAATAGTGACCGCTCCCAAGCGTTTGAGGCGAATCCCTCGTTTCTCCTGTCACAGGCTGCCCCTCCCCAAGAACAGATAATGCTGCAGAGGTCGGAGGCCTAGGCATGAATGTATTTTTCTCTCTCTCAGCGAGCTCATCGGTGAACTCATGAAAACGAGAAGATGCGCACTTATCAATCATCACCTTTTCAAAGCTCACATTCCCACGTTTTCTCGTTCCTCACAGGAGGAGTTTAACGGGAAGCCTGACTCCCTCTACTTTACAGACGGCCAGAGACGCATCGACTTCGTCCTCGTGTACGAAGATGAGACTAAAAAGGAGACCAATAAAAAAGGAACAAATGAAAAGCAAAGGGTAGGATCTGTTTTCTGTTGTAATTTCATTTATCCCCTTTTATATTGTGAGATGAGAAAAGGTGTGTTGTTCTCATGTAAACCACTGAGGAAATTGACCTGGTGGACCCTGAACCAAACATCCCTTCCTTGTTTCCTCAGGCCATGCTCCCTCAAGGCGTGTGAGCAGGAAATTTTGTTGAATTTCAAACAAGCTTGCCCAGGCTCTTCCTCTTTGGTTTCAGGCTGAAGGGAGAGTCCTCAGGAGCTGACTTTTCTGTTGTGTAGAGATTTACACTAAGGCACACCGGGGCTGCTAGCACCTGGCTGGGAAGGAGGCTGATAATTAACAGTGCAGTAACAGCTAGCATTCCGTGTGTGTGTGTGTGTGTGTGTGTGTGTGTGTGTGTGTGTGTGTGCGCGCGCGCGCGCGCGCGCTCTGCTGCCAGAGGTGCATTTTGCTTGCATTTTTTTTTTCTCATTTAACTCTTACCACACCTGAGGTGGGCTCTGTCCTCACACAAATTCAGCTTCTCCTTCTGATACCAGACCCTGTGTCTGTGGCCCTCATGTCTTCTGTCACCCATCCTTTCCTCTCTTGCACCCGTTGGCAGCCGTGCCTCCTCCCTTTCCTTTGCGTAGGCCTCTTGCGAAACAAAGCCATTCTTACTTTGAAAAAATTCAAACAACAGGCCAGGGCTGGCACAGCCGCCTGGAACTTCTCTGTTGGAATGCAAACTGCACATAACTCAAGTGGGACAGAAGACGTGTAACACGTGGATGTTTAGATCCATGCTGGGAATCATTCCATCATTCTATCCACCCCCTTGCGAATGAACTGTTATTACGCACACACACAGCTTTTATTGTCCTCATCCATACTTTACGCATAAACTATACCAATCTTTAACCTTTTCATTTCTGGTTATTCTTGGAATGCAAGTGATGAAACCTTTTTGTAAAATGAAACGAACAAGTGTTTTATTCATTTATAATGACAACCATTATTATTTATGTGTTTAAATTTGGAGAGGGTTAAGTTTGGAGTCCTAAGTTTACCTGGTAACAACAGAATAAGCCCAGGATTTAGAAAATTACATTCAGATTCTAATTGAGCTACTGTCCTAGCCAGAGCAATTTAACTTACATGAAACATTTCCGCAGGTGATAATGGTGTCATCGGAAAAAAAAAAAGTACATTTATTGTTTGTGTCAGAGTAAAAAGTGGCGTTCTTGCTGAGTACATGGTTTGGAATTGGGGCTGTGCTCCGTGAAGTCATTAAGGAACCTCAGTTGAAACCGAGGCTCTGCCATATTCGCTAGGCAGTTCCAAAATCAACCTGGGCATCAGCACAAAGGGCAAAGAAGATGCCAGAGTCAGTGAAGGAGGAGCTTATGCTTCCTCACGGCTGGGATCCGGCAGGGACCACAGCCATTGTGCACAAGTGTGTCAGGCCAAGCCCAGCAAGTGAAGCTTCTGTCTTCTGTCAATTTTGTAACTTCCCCCCACATTTAGACTTCTTTGAGTTTAGATTGCATCTAACAAAAAGGTTATCATAATTCTAGTTGGTTGAAATTTTTTTCTTTTTGGTATATAAATATTGACTGTCATATGGTATCCTAGATTCAGGAAAATAGGACCTCAACATCTATCATGTGTTATTATGATTAAGATGAAATAGAATAGCATATATAGATGTTACATAAATTTCCAATGTGGTCAAGTTATAAACGTTAATGCTGCACCTTCTATTTTTACTTGGATTTGGTGGTTTTCTAAGGTAATGCTCTGCTATGAAAGACGTGACTCTCCTTTTAACCAGCTTTATTACTAGAATAAAGTAACTAGTGGACTTGACCATTTTCCCCAGATTAAGTATAATAGCCTATGCATTCATATTTACTATTATCATATATTCACGGACCACCCCATGTGCCAATAGGGTTGGGCTAGATTTATGTAAAGCAAGTTAAATATGTTTATCAAATCCATTAAAGTATAAAGGAAATGACATGGCTTTGGACAAGAGCTTTACTGCTTGGTGAAGGAACCCTGGAGCTACTCACATTATTAATAATTTCTTCATTTGCTTTAGACAGGGACGTGGGTGTCAGGGTGACTCTCATAAGTCAGGAGGCAAAAAAAAAACATTAATTTTGGCAGTCCTCCAACACAGTGAGTGATGTACCTTGATGTTGATATCCATAAGCTTTGCTTTGAAGTGCTTTCAGTTTGCATTTGTACATATTTCTTAATTTTATACTGTGTCGAAATTGAAAGCCTGGCTTTGGAACCACATTTTTATTAATTGGACAGACGTTTCTGAGCTTTGTTGTAGTCCTCGTCGGGGCTTAGTGGGGATTTAGGGCAATGCCGAGGAAAAGCAATTTCAAAGCCCTGTTTCTCCTAAAAGGAAAGTTTTCTGTGTATGTCACATTGATTTCCTAAAACAACACCACAATTGGCTCTGCCAGGATTGATCAAAAGAGTTCTGTAAGCAAGTTTTAGGGCTGTGGTAAGAAATGGGACGAAAAGGGCCACAGGCACCTTAAACATACCAACATGAAAGGCCTATGTCTTCTCGGGAGTAAGAGAAAATTCCATCCCGGTCAAGCTTTCAGATAGTATGTATTTTCACCCCTTTGTGTTGGTGAAATCACGTCCAAATTGGACTCTCCCCCTTTGAAAGCATAAGTTCTCTGCTTTTGCATTTGACGTGGCGGTCACTGTGAGTTGTTTCAGCAAGCCGTGCTTGCCTTACGCCATGCTTTCTGCTGGATCCGTTTGGATGATTTTTACTGCAAGTCACAAGAAAACAAGATCTCACATGGGTAATTGCTAGAAGGAAATAATGATGTCACTACTCAGAAGGTAGAACCAGCTCTGACCCAGCTCTGAGACCGGTGGTTTTCCGGCTTAATGAGGCCATTCCTTCCCCCTGGCCCTGATCCTCAAGTAAGCATCCCCTGGGTATGAGGTGACAGCTGGGATCCAGGCAGCCAGCAGCAGAAGCATTATCTCTCTTTTCAGAAACAAGGAAGCGCCTCTGGAAGGACCCTGTGCAGCCTCCCACTGTGGTTCCCTGTCTAACATAGATCATAGTCTTTCTCCCCTCCTCCTTCCATCTCTCCCTCCTTTTCTTCCTTTGCCACGTAGTCTAGGTTCATCTTAGACTCACGGTGAAGTGGTGACCTTGAACTACTGGTCTACCTGTCTGCAACTCCTGAGTATTGGGATTATAGATAAATGTCATCATGCCAGGAGTGGTGACGAATCTTGGTTGGCAACTTGACACACCTCAAAAGAGATAACGTCAACGAAAGAGTTGCCTTCATCAGTTTGGCCTCTAAGTATGTCTGCAGGTGTGAGGCTGGGGTATTCTTTTGATTGCTATTTCATGGAGCAGGATGTCGCCTAATGTGGACCATGGTGCCCTTGGGCAAATAGACCTGAGATGTATTTAAAAAAAAAAAACAACAACTGTCTATGCAGAAGCAGGGAGCAAGGCAGTAAACAGCATTCATCCATGGTCTCTGCTTCAGTTTCGACGTTAAGTTCCAGCCTTGGCTTCTCTGGACAACGGACTCTAACCTGTAAGACAACCTTTCCTCACCGAGTTGCTTTTGGTCATACTGTTTATCACAGCAAAAGAAACCAAACTAGGACAGCAGAGTTGTTGACTTGGGGATGGAACCCAAGGCATCCTCCATGCTAAGCAAGCATTCTACTAAATGAGTCACATTCGTTGCCTTCCCATCCTCTGCTATAATTCAGCACTAGCCAGCCTCCCTGCTCCTGGGGCTCTGCACCCATGTATCTAGCCAACCACAGGTTTTGAAAAAATAAGTTCCAAAAGGACTGGAGAGATGTCTCAGTGACTAGGAGCACTTTTTATTTTCACAGAGGGCCTGGGTTTGGTTCCCAGCACCCACATGATTGATGACTTACAACCACCTGTAACTCCAGTTCAGGCCATCTAGTGCTCTCTTCTGATCACTGTGGGCACCAGTCATGCAGGGGTGCTCAGACACTCATGCAGGCAAAACACTCACACATAAATAAATCTAAATTTTTTTTAAGTGTTCAGAAAAAATGTTTCCTGTTGAACACATGCAAATGTATTCCTATTTGTTCTTCTCTATGATATAAAATATAAGCAACCAATATAAACATTACATTATGCTAGGTTTAGTAAGGTGTACAGTGTAGACAACCATTTCATTGTTCTAGGTTTAGTAGCAATCCGAAAACGGTTTGAAACATATGGGGGAAATGTATATATGTGGTACCCAAACACTGCTCCGTTCTACGTCAGGGCCCTTTCAGTGTCCATGGGGATTGTTTTCTGTGGCCCTTATAGAGTTCATCTTTGTGTCTGCAGAGGGGGCCGGACTAGGAAGACTGGCCCGTGCTAATCAGGATTGGTTTCGTTTATTTCCTGAGTCACCAGATCACCCCGTATCAGAAAAATGTTCAGGCTTTGCTTTATAACAGTGGAAGAGAAGAGTGTCTGAGAGCTGCCGTCAGTGTCTGGCACCCAAACAACTGCAAGTAAATATGTGGGGTCAATATTATAATGAGCAAAGATGGTTTAAATAAAGCAAAACCCTGCTTAGCTCCAATTCCTCCATCACAGTCTTGGTTGTAACTGCTTCTTTCTTTCCATTTTTTGCTACAACTACTATCAGTCGCAGGACTGATCTTCTTTGATTTTGGTTTGTCCCATGGCCTTACCTGTTTCAGGACGGATGTGTTCCTGACCACAGGATGATAAAATCAAATGATGGCAGAAGTGGGAGGAAGTGGGGTCTAGACAGCTCGAAAGCAGCACATACAGTCCTGAATAAATTTTATTTAATTTTTTTTATCTATTCCTAGTATTGATGGAAACTTAGTTTCTCTGAAGTTAAGGAAAGGTGTACACATAGAATTTGTAGTTCGCATTATGTTAGTCCTGAAATCAGCCAGAGAAAAACCAGTCCCACCATTCTGACCAAATTAAAGCAAGTTTTTTATAAAAA